CCCTGCTCCAAGACCCCCATCTCTGCCCCAGCGCGCTCCCACAGCCCTGGCGCCACGCGCCCTCTCTCAGGAGAGCTCGGCCGGCCCAGCTGCACCTGCGGAAGCCTGACTGCGCTCCTCGGCCCGCGTCCACGCCTCCTCCGCCGGCACTGCGCTCAGGGGCGGGGCCTCGTCCCCTGTGTGCACCAAGCCCCCGCGGGGCCGCAGCAGTCCTGTCAGGAAACAGCCCGTGAGCAGGTGCGAGAGCTGGGTGGGGGCGGGAACGGCCGTGGTCACCCATGACCACTCTCTGTGGCCTTGAGTGAGTCCCAGGCCCTCTCAGGCCGGTACTCTGAGGCCTCCACGCTGGAGACCCCACTGCCAGCTCCTTAAAGACCAGCATCGGGGGGCCGGCGCTGCGGCACAGCGGGTTAAGCCGCTGCCTGCGATGCCAGCATCCTCTATGTGCTCAGGTTCGAGTCCCGGCTGCTCCACTTCCCATCCAGCTCCCTGCTACGGCCTGGGAAAGCAGTAGAAGATGGCCCAAGTGCTCGGGCCCCTGGACCCACGTGGGAGACCCGGAGGAAGCTCCTGGCTCCTGGCTCCTGCTTGGCCCAGCCCCGGCTGTTGTGGCCATCTGGGGAGTGAACCAGCGGATGGAAGATCTTGCTCTCTCTCTCTCTCTCTAACTCTTTCAAATAAATAAGTAAATCTTTAGAAAAAAAAAAAAAGCCCGCATGGGGCAGGCACACTCTGTGTGGGGGAGGGGTGCAGGCAGCTCCTGTCACACTGCTGAGTTGAGGTTCCTCGGGGTGCCGGGTGTGCAGGGGCAGGAGAGGAAGCTGAGACCGAAAGACGGACCCAGGACTCCCGGCCGCGTGGGACCAGGGACGCCACGCAAGCTCCCGGAGGCCTGCACAGCTTCAGTCACCGAGCGCGACACGGCCAGACGCACACAGCTCCCTTTGGGGCCGGCTCCCAGAGGTCCTGGAGGCTCTCCGAGCTGAAACCCTGAGCGAGGCCGGGAGTCAGGGAACGGGGTTCCCCTGGGTGAGCGCATAGGCCCAGCTGGGCCCCTGAGTGCCGACGCCCAGGGCACGGTCCCAGCATCCCCCTGATGCGCACATCCGTGGGTCCCTGCTGCCCACGCAGGAGCCCCAGGTGCAGCTGGCTTCAGCCTGGCCCGGCCGTGGGCCTTGGGTGGAAGATCTCCATCTCCCTGCCCTTTAAATAAACATTATAAATTCCAAACGAACAAAATACCCCAGATCGTGGCCTGAGCCCCAAACTCCAGCGCCCAAAATGTGCCCAAGCCTGCGGCCAGGTCAGTGCGGGGAGGAGGTGGCGGCGGTCGCACCCGCAGCACAGGGCCTTCTGGTGGCCCGGGAGGGACCAGCCTTGCCCCAGCTCGACCTGGGACTGGGGCCTCGGGCGGCCGTGCTCCCACGCCCTCCCCGGTGCAGCAGGAGCCTGGCCTTGGCCAGCAGCCAGCAGGGCCTCCTGGCGCACTGTTCGGGCCTCCATCCTGTCTCCGAGCGGCCAGAGGCTCCACCCAGCTCCCAGCTTGTGCACTGGCAGCGTGGCGGGGTCTCCTCCCAGAGGCAGGGGCTGGCAGGGAGGGGCAGGAGCAGCTCCGGTGCCACCCCCTCCCCCTCCCCCACCCCACCCCCACCCCCACCCCCACCCCATGGGTATCATTTCACGGCCAGATGGCCCTTCCGGGCTCAGGGCATCTGAGGCTCTCGTGGTACCATCCCGGAAGCTCTGGGCACAGTGGCGTCTGTGCTGACCCCACCGCGCACGGAGGCAGCTGCCAGCGGCCAGATGGGGCAGCCCTCCCCCACCCCTGCCAGGGCAGGGGAGAGTGTGTGGCCAGGTCCTCGGGGGGAGGGGCACCGCCTGGACACAGGCAGAGATGACCAGTGCCCCCTGACCTGACCAGTGCAGACACCCTGGCTCCTCCCGTCCACGCGCCCCAGGGCCGGCCCCTCTACTTCCCGGTCCCACGTTGCCTGGGTTTGAGAACGCGCCCAGCGTTGCTGTGTGCCAGGGCTGGGGGCTGCAGCATTGGGCACTGTGCTCCCCCACACCTGTGCCCCGGAGGAAGTCACGCATGCTCTCTGAACCAAGCCTGCCCCTCCCAGGGGCACCCAGCAGGGAGGGGTCCCTGGGCAGTCACTGACCGGGCGCTGGCCACAGCTGGGACGCAGGCGATGCTGGGAGCCCGTGCCGCGAGCACGTGCACGCGGGCCTGGTCAGAGGCAGCCTGGGCTTTTTCTGGGGGACGCGGCGACACCCACAGCTCTCACACGCCTCGCCCTGGGCGGGCACGGTGCGGGCACAGCCGCTGTGTCGGCCAGCACCCAGCACGAGAGGCCCTGCAAGGGACGGCGTCCCCTCCCCCGCCACTCCCGGGCTCTGCTGCTAACCCACGGGGGCAGGGGAGGCAGTTCCTGAGCCGCTAATTAAAACTGGGCGTGCGGACGGCTGGCCTGGAGCCCAGGGACGCCGAGCTGGGGGCCGTGGGGCCCTGCCCTGCCCTGCGGGTTGACATACACAGGGCACAACCACCCTCCCGGGAAGCCCCGGTGCGAACAGGGCCCAGCTCCTGGCCTGGGGCCACTGACCACGGGCAGGGCTTCACCCACACCCGGCCACACAGCCTGAGTCCCACGCCGGGGTCCCTGTTGCCTGGATTACACCCGGAAGCCCACCCGTGTGGAAATCCGAACAGCACAGGCCTGCCAGCGCCCCCCCCCCCCGGCACCTCGGCACCATCGCACCTGGCGAGTCCTCCGAATCACCCCTGCTCACCACACCCACGCAGCCCCAGCCCCGCCCTGCCCACACAGCTCTGCACACGGGCGGACACGCACGTTGTCACACACGTGAGTGACCTGAGCCATGACTCACCCACCCCACGCTCCCCTGCCTCCACGGCCAGCTCAGGGGCCTTCAGCACATCCGGAGCCGCGTGCTGGTCCCAGCACCCGGTTTTAGAAAACTCATCAGCCCGCAAATAAACCCACACCCAGCGCAGCGGCTCCGCGCCCCGCCCCCACCCCGGGCAGGCTGCCTGTACTGGACCCTTCCGTGGGTGCAGCCACACGTGGGCATCGGGAGCTCCGAGCCCCATGGTCCCGGCGTCCACGCACCGCTCTCCACGGCTGAGCCAGCGTTGCCAGGGTACCCCCCTTCCTGTTACGCACCCCCAGCTGTGGCTGTCACAGGTACAGCAGCTGGGAATGCCCCTGTGCAGGGGCTCACGCCCTCAGGGTCTACACCTCGCAGGGGGTGGCCGGGTCACGTGGCCGCTCGGGGCTTAGATTGGAGGAGCTGCCCCACGGCTCCACCCTGCCCCCAACACACAGGCTTTAGCTACGAGGGTACCTCCCGAGGTCGACGGGGAAACGGACTAAAAAACCTGAGTTTATTTGGGTGTAAAAGATCCACACACAGCACTTTTACAGCGCGCACCCTGCAGGAACCCCGCTCAGCCGAGGCGGGGGTGGCGGCGCTCGGAGGGGCTCAGCGCTGGGGTCTGCCTCTGCCCCCTGCGCAGGCGCGTGCTCCCTCCTGGAGGCGACGTCTGCCTGGGTCTTCGTCCACTTGGTGCCGTGGCTGCCTTCAACGCCCCGAGCTAACCCACCGCGCCCTGGGCAGCACGAGATCTTAGCTTCCGCGAAATCCGACGCGGGGACTCCTGTGGCTGGCACAGCCCGTGCTCTCGGGGTCTCCCTCAGAAGCCGCCGCCCGATCCACGCTCACCAAGACGGAACCCGGGCTTGCTGTTCCCTCTGTTTCCGCTTTCCTGCGATTCGCAGAGGCAGTTTCCAAAGGAGCCAATCCCCTGCCCCCCGCACACACGAGATGCTGAGTCGGAGGATCCAGGGGCTATGGGCGGGGCAAGGCACCGGTGCAGCTCCAGGAATCCCCGGGCATCCTTAGAACATTCCAGCGTCCTAATGGCGCCCAGGACGCTACCTGACCCCAAGCCAACTCACGCTCGGAGGCCAGGAGAGAGGGCTCCACGCTCATCCAGCCAGCCTCGGGCTGCCACAGCTACTCACGTCTTGAGAGCAAATGGCGGCACCTGCTGTTCGCTCCCCACACGCGGCCACCCCCACCTATGCACGGGGTCCTCCCAGCCCCCAGCAAGGCAGCACGGGGCAGCTGAGGCCGCAGCCAGCGTCTGAAGCCCCCCTGGACTGGCTTCAGGGCCACTGCCAAGGCCACGGCCCAGCCCAGCACTGCCCCCTCCCACAACTTCCCCCAGAGCTCCCCAGGGCACAGAATGGGGAGCAGAGGATGGGGCCCCTCTCCCTGAGGACGGGGGAGGCTGCAGTCCCATTGTCCAGTGTCCCGCAGAGCACTGAGCCTGCTCCCCTGCACGGGGTGGGGGGCATTGCAGGCGAGGACCCTGCCATGAGGCCACACTGTGCCACTCAGCCCGGGGTCCCCCTCCCCTTCCTTCCTCTGAGCCCCCTTCTCTCCCCGGCCCCCTGCTCCTGGCTCCCCCACTTCACCCCACCGGCCCCCTAGCAGTCACCAGGTTGGGCTCCAGTCCACAAGAGGCTCCTGCCCGGCTCTGTGATGGGGTTCTTGGGGCACGACTGACACTGGGGCTGGGTGGCTCTCCACGGGAGCCCGGCTGCCACGCCCCTGCCACTTCCCACACCCCACTGCAACCGCCACCAGCCGTGTCCCCACGAACCCCAGGGCGAGCCACGGACAGGGGAAGGCAGCGGCGACAGAGGCGGCCTCAGCCTTGCTCCCGGCCCAGCCCAGCTCAGAGGTCACCGCCCCTGCCCCAGTGGTGCCGACGCAGATCCCCCCTTCCCCATGGGTCTGGCGGGGCCACACCCCTCACCCCACAGAGCAGTCCAGTTCCTGAAGCTGCAAACAGCTGGCGCCAAGTGCTGGTTCTCACCACAGCGCCAAGTTAGGCTGCCCCCTCCATGCCAGACCCTCAGCTGGAGAAGTCAGCTTCCGCCTGGGCCACAAGGGGCTGTGGGCTTTACCTGTCCCTCCCGCAGGCGTCCCCATGGGTCACAGCCTCCCCTGAAGGTCGTCTGCTCCCCCTCTGGGGCCGAGCCCAGCTCCACGGGGCTGCAGCTGCACAAGTGGGGGAGCTTCAGGACATGGCCGAGGTCACGTGGCTGGTGCCAGTCCCAGGCTGGGGCGGGGCAGGGCCCGGCCTTCCCGGCATACCGAAATAGACTCCAGCACATGGCACACCCAGGAGATGCACCTGCTTCCCGGGCATCCGGGAAAGCGGCTCTGAAAGGCATCTGTGGGGGGTTGGGGGGACAGGGCCCGTTTCCCGGCCGCCACCCTCCCTGCGTGGTGGGAGTCACAGCCTGCACCAGCGTCCGGGGCTGTCCTGACAAAGTCCCACACACCGAGGCCTCGCACGACACGCGGTCATTCTGTCAGCCCGAGCTTCCAGCAAGCAGGCGCTTCCTGCTCCTGTGGCTGCTGGCCACCTGTGGCTTGTGGCTGCCCACCTCTGGGTCTTGGTGTCCTGTTCCGTCACTCTTAAGGACGCCAGCCACTAGGGCCCACCCTACTCCACGGTGACCCCACCCCCACCCCTACGGGGTGGCACGCAGGATGCCAAGGCTGCACCCTGGGGTCTCAGGTACACGTGAATTAACACAGCACGGCCCCCATGTGCTGATGGGGGCACTCGGGGAGTCCCCTGCTCCCCGCCCCCGGCCCCCCAGGCTGGCAGCCATGCCAGGGTTAACGCTGCCTTGGATCCAGCAGGCGGCAGTGGGAGCACCCACAGGCGCTGTCCTGGCTGATCCCAGATGTGGCCTGCACAGATCCGGTCATGTCCGGAAGCTCAGGCCAAACCTGGCAAGATGCCATGCAAGAGGGAGGGGGCGGGGTAGGTGGCCAGCAGGGACCCTTCTCTCGTCCGCCGTGTCTGACTGTCCGCGGGGACGCTGGCCCAAAACCTGTACCCCTCCCCCACCCCGGGCAGGGGCCAGAGAAATGACCCCCACCACGGGAAACCCAAGGGGCAGAAGGGGCCTTGCTCCCCAGGGCCCATGGAACCTACAATGGACACAGGATATGCAGCCAAGGTGAGATATTAGGCCCTGCCTCCCCGGTCCCTGGTCATTCATTCTGCGGCTGCCTATGCCCCACTGCCCCAGGCCCTGCTTGGGTAAAGAGTGACAGTGACAGTGACAGTGACCGACAGTGACAGCAGCCACCCACCGCGCACTCGGAGAACCCAGCACACTGTGCCACAGCCAGCATCTCCACTTTCCTGGCAAGGAAACGGAGGCACCGGCAGGCAGCCGGGATGCAGCCAGCTCTGGAGAACCAGAGAGGGCCCAGGCTTGGGGGCTGGAGTCCAGCGGGTGACGAGGGGCAGGGCAGCACAGGACGTGCCGTGGGCAACCAGTGTCCAGCCCAGGGAGACACCACAGGGCCCACAGGGAGAGAACTGGGCAGAGGGGGGCAGCTCGCAGCCGGGAGGCGCTGGCGGGGACAGGGCAGAGCATGTGGGGAGGGGTGGCCACAGCTGACACCCACAGTGGACGTACAGCCTCTGGGCCAGCGAGGCCAGGAAAACGGACGCCCGTGGGAAAGCGTGGGCTGTGCCCTGGGGTGTGGGGTGGCCACAAAGGATTTGGTGCAAGTCAGAGAGAGACGTGGCCCTAACAACGCGTGTACGGTATGCACACAAGAGGCACGAATCCCCTGTGGACACCTGGCAAAGCAGCAGCCGTGGGGGGCTGGAGACTGTGGTGTCGGGACTGGCAGAAGCTGCAGTAGCCTTGTGTCCCTCCACTAGACAGACGGCACACGGCTGCCAGCCTGGGCCATCACCCAAGGCTCCAAGACCCCTGGAGAGCCATGAGCATCCCCAGGGGGCCTGGCACGCATGGGCGAGGGGCTGAGCCAGGCGGCTGTCAGGGCGAGCACAGGCAGCCCCAGGCACTCGCTGGGCTCTGCACACTGGACGAGACAGTGGGGCCCTGCCCGCCGCTGGCCCACCCCAGCAGGCAATCAAGGCAGAGAGCAGCTCCAAGGGAGGGCCCCAGGGCTCCGTTCGTGCCTCCTGGGGCCCGGGCACTGCGGGCGCCCAAGGCCCTGCACAACCTCTCGGGAGGTCCAGGCTGGCCCAGGCCAGCAAGCAGCAGGCTGCACCTGAGGGCATTTCCTGTGAAATTCTGGGGAAGGCAGCATGGACAGGGGCTGGCCCCAGGGTCCGAGTCAGCACCAGGGCAGGGCAGGGCGGGGCGGGCGCCAGTGCTGGACACAGCCTGAGCCCTCACGTGGGTGCAGTGACTTCAGCTTTCCGGCAGCCTGTGAGCTGGCGCCGCCTCCCCCTCACTGAGGCTTAGAGGTGGCACCTGGCCTTGGGGGAGGGGTGTGTGCCCTCACCTGCCCCCTGCCCCTGGGTCCTGGAGGGGCAGAGGGACCAGTGTCTCTGGGAGGACCTGCTGTGGCTCCCAGCCTCCTGGACGGAGTCATGAGGTGTTGGCCCAGGAGCGTCCTGAGGTCCCCAGTGTGGTCTGAACCCAGCCAAGAGCTTTCCTCAGCCCTGGTCGCGAGCTGAGAGGGGATAGCGCCTGGGGAGGGTCCCCTGCCTGCCATTCTCAGCCCCCCTCACCACCAGCCCAGGGCTAAGCTCTGATTGGCCTAAACTCTTCAATTTGCATAGTAATCTGTGGGGCATATACCATTGTTTCACATTCAATGAGCTACTCTGTAAGAAATTAAACAGCTCAATGACACTATCTGTAGGATGTAACATTGTGTCACTCGCCGATACAATCTGTAAACATGTAACATTGTTTTTCTTTTTTCTTCTCCCGAAACAAAACCTCCACCGGGTGGTGGGCTGTGTGCTCCTCCCTGCTACCCCGCTCAGCATCTCACCTGGCAGGTGCAGCAGGGACCCACGGAGCAGGTGGGGGTGGGGAGCTACAGTGAGTTCAGGAAGGGCAAGGAGGGGGATCCTTGGGCCCCTCTGGGTGGACAGAACCAAGTGCCTGCAGGGACCCCAGCCCACTCAGCCTCCCGCGGTGCTCTCTTGGCCACCTGCCCGGTGTCGTCCTCCACCGCCACCTCTGCTGGAGCCAGCTGTGCCCCCTCACAGGTACCTACACGTTTCAGTGGGGCTGGGGCATTTGCTGGAAAAAGCAAGCGCTGGGCCCCGCGCTACAGCCAGAGTGGCTGGGAAGGGGCTCTCCAGGCACAGGAGACACCAGGGGCTCAGACCTGGGGGCCCAGGCGGACCCCTCACCCGCCCCACCCCATACACCTCCTGTTCTGCGCGTTATGGTCATGATCACAGTGCAGTGCCCCTTACCCACAGAGCAGGGCCAGAGATACTTCCGACTCTGGAGTTGCCCCATTTGTGCATTCACACGAGCTCTCTTGGAGGGTGGTATCCAAGTCTAAACAGGAAAGCACTGGGTTTCAGACACCGTATGCAGCAGCCTGAAGATAGCTTCACCAGGACTTTAAATAATCGTGTGTGTGAACCCAGCTTCGCGGTGCGGAACTCCCCCCTTGCGGCTTGGTGTCGGCACTCAGGACGGGTCCGACTGGGGAGCGTCAGGGACTCTGCATTTTGTCATTAGGGGTGCTGAGCCAGCACCTCCAGCTGCCCTGCCGAAGGCGGTCGTGAAACAGCCAAGCTCACGGGCTTGCGAGCTGGGCGCTGGGCGGCATCGACGGGCAGCGTGGCCCACCTCGGTGGGACCCTGCACTTCCACGGGGTCCGACACGCTGAGCTCTGCAGGGACCCGAGACATCAACCCGGCCCCGCGGAGGACACTCAACGCGAAGCCCTGCCTGTCCTGACCCCTGAGACCCAGCTGCAGCCACGTGCCGGACGCCTCCACCCGGACGCCCCCCGGCATCTCGGGGTGGGACACAGTTCCTTGGGGCCTGCACTGTGGCCCAGCATGTAAAGCCACTGCCTGTGATGCCAGCACCCCTGTGAGTGCTGGTTCAAGACCCGCCTGCTCCACTTCCAATCCTGTTCCCTACGAATGGCCCAGGAAAGCATCAAGAGACGACCCAAGTGCTTGGGCCTCTGCTACCCATGTGGGAGACCTGGAGGAAGCTCCTGGCTCCTGGTGCAGCCTGGTCCAGTCCTGGCCATTGTGGCCATCTGGGGAGTGAAGCAGTGGATGGAGGATCTCTCTCTGTCTCCCGCTCTCTTTCAAAGTCTGCTTTCCAAATAAACTAATGAATCTTAAATCATTTTCAAATAAAATTTTAAAAAAACAACAGTCCCTCGCTGGTCACATCGTCCATCGCGGACAAAGCCTCGCCCTGCCTGGCCGCTGCCCCTGCCCCACAGGCTGCACGGCGTGGCGCCCGCGCCTCAGCCCAGCCACCTGCCCCTCCGAGCCTCAGCCGTCTGCGATGGCAGCGCCTCCGGAGCGGGTGTGACAGGGAAGCAGGTGGCACCTGGACACGGGCAGGCACCTGGGAGCCAGCCTCTTCCTCTCCCAGTTCCTGACTGCGCTGGTGCCCTGTGACTGCTCCAACACACGGCTCCACGGAGACAGACGCCAGCCGCAGGTGACCCCGCACAGCCCACACACGGTGAGAGACGTCCCGTGGGAGCCCAGAGGTTTGCACAACTTTCCCACGCCGTTAAAAACAAAAGAAGGATGTGAACCGATGCTTCCGGAGCTTCTCCCGGCTCGGGACACCTGTTGTGAACACCCCTGGACGCACAGAGGCGAGACGGCGCCCGCACGCACGGCGCGATCCCAGCCCTGCAGGGTCTCTGGATGGAGGCTCTGGGATCTGCTAAGCTGCCGCCAGCCATGCCAAGGAGCCATCAAAGGACCACAGATGGGGCTCGAGACAGGCCCCCAATCTCTCGCCACGTGTGGCCAGCCCAGGGTCCCTGCCTCCAGCTCTGTGCTGCCCAGGCCAGCCTGGCCCTCCCTGGGCTCCCTCCCCGAGGACGCCAGCCATGCCCACAGCGACCTCATCTCCACCAGGACACCCGCACCCACCCCTGCCGAGCGAGCAAGGGCAGCGCGGGCAGGCGACCCTCACTTTCTGGGGAGCGTGACGCCAACTCCCCCTTCTCATCAGCACAAGCCACGGCCCGGGGGCCCCTGCACAGGTCACCAGCGTCCCCTGGTGGGCTTCCTCCCCCGCCTTGAGGGCACCACTCTCCCTGCCCCCCACACTGGCCCCCCACTTGCTGCCAGGCTGACTTCTGGGGCCCCCGCACCCAGCACATCTCCAGAGGCACAACAGCCACCCCAGCCTGAGGCCGCACTGCAGATCCGGGTCCCCAGACACCCCGGCCTGCTCCACCTCTCC